GCCGGGAATTGCTGGGTAACGGTGAATCCTACCCTCAGCAGTATTAGGTGCTGTCGGCTTTCCAGTGGTTATACTTATCCTCACTCCCTGAAAGGGGGTATATGAAAGAGTTTCAGGAAGTTCACCTTCTAAACAACAAAGGGATTGATTGTTTTATCATTTTAGCCATGTTACTGGGTGTGTGATAGGTTTTTATTTGCATTTCCCTGATGACTGATCAACGTAAACACTTTTTTATATGTTTAGTGGCCTTTTGAATATTCTCTTTTATTAATTGCCAGTTGAAGTTTTTTGCCCATTTTTTTTTCATATTGGAATGATTTCGTAAACACAGGTTTTTAATTCCAATGAGTCATCATCATTTTTACTCATTTTTTTCCTTACAGTCAACAAATTTTTACTCTGTATTTAAATGTATGCTATGCCACATCCTTTGTTAAGGTTGACTTTAGTGATTTTCTGTCCAGATTGCGAGATCCTGCCTCCCCAATGCTATGAAAATATTATCTTAGTTTTTTTTCCTAGAAAACTTATTTCACTGTTCATGTTTACGTCTCTGTTCCATCGTGGATGGATTTTTGTGTTTGGTATGGAGAATAAAGTGTCATAGATTTTTGCCCATAGTTAAGTTCAATTGACCATTTGTTGAAAAGTGAATTATTTCTTTATTACGCTGTAGTACAAACTTAGTAACTAGACAACTAGATCTTTGTAGATCCGTTTCCAAACTGGATTTCATTCCATTGATCTATTTGCCTATCTAGTTCAGTGCCTTTCTAACTTAATTCCTAATTTACTTTATAACACATCTTGAGACCCAGTACCATAATCTAGCTTCGTTCTTCTTCACATAGATCACCATGGCTGTACTTGACCCTCTGCATTTCCATATGAATTTTAGAAACACTTGTAATATTTTACAAAATAAATTGACTGGATTTTTGTTGAAATCACATGACATCACTAGATCATTGTGGGGAAAGTGACATCTTTTGAAATCCTGGACTTTGATTCCCGATGTTGCATACGTCTCCATTTATTCTGGTTTTATGCGATTTGTCTCTGATATTTTGCACTATTCTGGGTGAAAGTTTTGCACAGTTTTGGTTGGAATTGTTTCCAGCTCTAGGATGCTTTCTGCCTAATGGGCGAACATATGTGACCAGGTAATTCAGAATCCATAGTCCTCTTCTCTTCTCCACCTAAGACCTTCAATGATTTGATCCAGTCCCATTGTTTATAAACAGTTTCTTTGTTAAAGACACACATTTATTTTCTCCACCCTGAGTTCCCTGTGAAACTCCAGACTCACATGAACAGCTACCTACATATCCTCCATCTATGTCTAATTGACAACTGAAAGTCAGCAGGTCCAAGACAGAATCTCTGAATTTCTCCATCCCATAAACATATTGTACTGTTTCTAAGTTCAGTGGAAGACAATTCCATTTTTCTGGTTTCTCAGGTACAAACTTACAGAGTCAGTGCATCCTCACCTCACACATGCCTTTTCCAAGCCTGTTTTCTCTCCCTTCAAACGTATCCAGGACCTGACCAGCATGGGTGCCCCCACGCTCCGCTCATCTCAGCACATACGCCACTTTCTTGGATTTCTCAAAATGTTGACAGAGTATAATTTTCCCCCACAGCATGTTGTCAACAGAGAAAGCAGGGACTGTTCTTTAGCTTGTTGGTGGGACTCACTAAAAACTCTGCATTGTTATCATCCTTAAAACAGCCCACAAGCCGTCCGTGCATAGGCCCTTCTCCGCACCATCCCATCCATGACCCCCATTCTTCTCTGCTCTCAGCTCCTCCATCCCAGTCCCCCTCTCTCTGCTCTGGCTGCACTGCCTCCTGGGTGTTCTCAGATGCTGATGATATGCCACCTACATAGGGTTTTTGCTTGGCTGAACTCTTCCCTCACAGCGGACATTACAAACACCCTTAACTCCTTCAAGGCTCCACCCAAGTCTTCTTCACCAAGATGGCTTACCCTATTTAATACTTCAGCCTTTTCCTTCCTCCCCTAAGAATTAGTGTTCCCGATGATTCTTGCTGCTCTACTTTTTTATTTCTTCAATTGCATTTGCCACCTACTAACGTTCCATACTCTTCACTTATTTATCATGGATGCTGTGGATTGCCTGCCTCTTCCCTGTACAACATGAACTCCATGAAGGCAGGGCTCTGCGCAGTCGGCAAATGTATGCAAAGTTCCGAGAAGTGCGCTTAGGACGTTTTCGGTGCTCAGTAAATGTTAAGTTATTGAACTAAATATAAAAGGAAATGTCTTATAGATGCAAAATGATGATCAACTTTATGAGGGGTCAGGAAAACGTAATGTAAATAAGACACCACTCCCCAACCATCAGATTTTCTGTTTGTACAGCCCTTTTTCTGATGGGAATCAGGTATTACTAAAGATGTGCCTAAACAAGGGCATTCATACATTATTCTGGACCAAATCAGTTAGAATCCCAAAGGAGAGCGAGTTGCCAAGTCCACGTTGTGATGCCACCCTAGAACAATCCTTGGACCAGTACAACGGAATATCCACTGCACTGCCATTGGCAAAATTAAAAAGCAGAAATGAACTGCCCTTTAGTAGAGAAATAAGAAAATAAAGTACTTACGATTTTAAACTAAGTGAACAAAATTCTGCATTTTTTAGTATAAAGGTCTCTCTCATAATACTGAGTATAAAAGCAATTGAAATTGATACAAACGCATACATTTCAAGTGATGTGTAATATGTAACTACTCTTTTTTTTCTTAGATGGAGTCTTGCTCTGTTGTCCAGGCTGGAGTGCAGTGGCACAATCTTGGCTCACTGCAACCTCTGCCTCCTGGGTTTAAGCGATTCTCCTGCCTCAGCCTCCCGAGTAGCTGGGACTACAGGCACATGCAACCATGCCCTGCTAATTTTTTTGTATTTTTAGTAGAGATGGGGTTTCACCATGTTAGCCAGAATGGTCTTGATCTCCTGACCTTGTATCTGCCCTCCTCGGTCTCCCAAAGAGCTGGGATTACAAGCATGAGCCACTGGACCCAGCCGTAACTACTCTTAAACACATTAATACTATATATTGTGTATAGGGACATATATATTTGTATAGGGATATACAAATGTATAAAAAAGTATGTGTATATATATATACACACACATATGTGTATGTAAATATATGTGTATGTATATATATATTTGTATACACATATATGTATACATACACGTGTATGTGTATGTATATATGTATATGTGTGTATGTATATGCATATGTGTATGTAAATATACATATTTACATACACATATATGTGTATGTATATGTGTACATATACATATTTGCATACACATGTGTGTATATGCATATATATGTATATGCACATATATGTGTATGTATATATAGACATTTACAGACACATATGTGTATATATACACATATGTGTGTATATACAGACATATACACATATATTTACATACACATATATATGTATATAAATACACATATGAAGCTTATGAGAATATAAATGGGAATATTGTATTACAACTTCATAATGTGTGATAAGAGAAAGAACTAATGACTTGGTGGAGTGGAGGCAAAAAATGGCTGCATGTATAAGATTTTATTGATAAAAAATTCTGAACTGGGTATGGTGGCTCATGCCTATAATCCCAGCATTTTGGGAGGCCAAGGCATGTGGACACCTGGGGTCAGGAGTTCAAGACCAGCCTGGTCAACATGGTGAAATCCCATCTCTACTATAAATACTAAATAATAATAATAATAACTGGACACGACAGCTGATGCCTGTAATCTGAGCTACTTGGGAGACTGAGGCAGGAGCATCCCTTGAACCCAGGAGGCAGAGGTTGCAGTGAACCGAGATCATGCCACTGGACTGCAGCCTGGGGACAGAGAGAGGCTTTGTCTCAAAAAAAACGTTCTGAAGCAAACAGGACAAAATATTAGCATTGGTGGCAGTAGGAAAATAAAGGTGTACTCTCTGCCGTACTTTTCTCTATATTTAATGGCTTATGTCGATTATTTTTAAAATACACCATACATTCCATGCCTTACACAGGATGGGATAGGTGTTTTCTTTAAATATGTAATATGTGCAAAACAAAGAAGTTGCGGTTTGTGGGTAGTTGTCTGTCTGTCGTCTACCGTGAGTTTACCTCCCTTGCAGTCGATGTGCAATAAGTAAATAAAAAACTGTAAATCAGACCCATTCAGGACATACAAAAGTTTTTTTGCGATTTAGGGAAATCGTTTTTACTTCAATGGCCATAAATAGGACTGCGTATATACTGCTGCCCATGAATGTAAGTCCCTCAGGCATGGAGATTTTTAAATCATTCTGAAAAATACCTGAAAGTCTAAAAGAAGTATTCTAAAATTTTATAAAGAAGAGAGTTTATATTACCCATTTTGCCTTTGTGTTGGTATTTTCAATAATGACTTTTTAAATATAATTTTTAGAAACAAGTACAACAGAAGAGCAGACCTTTGAGATATAGTCTGATTCTTCTGGTGCTTTCTTCCTCTTTGCAAGCTTTTTCTCCGGGTGTGGCTGCTACCACCTAGCGGAGCATTTCATGAACAACACTGATGTGCACCAAACGTGACTTCGATCCCGTTCAAACACATCTATCAACGTCAAACTTATATTTGGTTTGTGTGCTGTAGAAGGCTTAAATTATAAAGAGATCCTGAGGTCTCAAAAGGAATCCTTTCATCCTAAAATGGATAGCCCAGCATCTAGCTCAGCTGTCTCGGCGTCCATGACAGACTGAGGTCCTGTGTGCTTTATCCTAATTTACACTCATGAATTTACTTCTGTGAGCCCTGCTTTCCTCATCCTTCATTGTCAGACAACACCGAGGCACATTTTGGGGGTGGGGGTTGTGTAAGCGAAAGCACTTGCTACCGTTTACAGCTCTGTGGTCAGGACATGCTCGGGCATGGGAAGTAGCGCTGCTGTGTTCTCTCTTGCAGCCTCCATTTCATTGTTTTTGACACGGAGATGGCTCACGACATCCTCAAGGTCTGGGATGGGCCGGTGGACAGCGACATCCTGCTGAAGGAGTGGAGTGGCTCTGCCCTTCCGGAGGACATCCACAGCACCTTCAACTCACTCACCCTGCAGTTCGACAGCGACTTCTTCATCAGCAAGTCTGGCTTCTCCATCCAGTTCTCAAGTAGGTGGCACAGCTTCCTTCTTCTTTACCTTGACTTCAAAGTCTTGCCATGAACACAGCACTCCCTCCATTCATATTCTCCAGCGTCTTTTTACACAGATGCAATTTGTTGAGCCTAATTCGAAGTTAGGAAAACACATGTTGCAGAGGAGAAGCGTTCTCTTCCCCCATTGCCAGGTTCATGGTTGAGGCCATGCTAACAGAAGCCAGGTTAACAAGAGAAAAGCATAACCGTATTTATTTGATGTGCATTTTGCATGACACTGGAACCTTCAGAAATGGAGGCCCAGAGAAAGAGGGAAAATTGTGTGTTTTAATGGACAGACGTGCAGAAGTATGATTAGAGGATGAAAAGGTAGGATTTAGTGGTGATAAGCCAGGAGGAACCTAACAAGGCTTCTTGTGTCTGTATGTCATTCCTTTCCTCTGGGTCCTGGGAGTGCCCCTCTGGAATGAAGGTCAGGGAATTATTCTATGGCCTGCTTCAGGGCAGAAGGGCAAGCAGAGGCGGGACTGGCTTTCTCCCTTCGGTAGTCTCCTCAAAGCTGCATATTTTATAGTAATGTGTTCTGAACAGGGTCAGTATCAAAGGAAACATTCGTCTGAAATTTCGTTCATTATAAGATCAGGACAGGCAGTGGACCTACCTAGTTATATGGAAAAATACGTATGACTTTAAAGGTTTCAGTTAGTAAATTTCTAGACTTGAATGCAAGACAGACATGGGTGTCTGCATAAATGTAGAGTCCATCTTCAGTGTTCCCTTAACCCAGCCCTGGTTCCAGGTTCTCTGCTTGCCCCCATCTTTCTCTTTATGTAATGAAGTCTCTGTGCAAACAACCTCCTAATCAAACATGCTTTGATTCTCTACTCGCAACTTCCCTTTTCAGGACAGTCCTTGAATTTTCTCCCACCTTTGGGACAAAGTTTCAAGAAGCTAATATGACAGAGGACCCTCTGCTGAATTGCTAGTGGAAAACCACATTTGCACACACAAACTATTATCTCCTAATGACAGTTCCCATCTTTGCTGTCTAGCCCATTTTTAATGAAAGGTTTTTAAAGAAGGAAGAAGTGGAGATATTTTGTGGCAGTTGAGCCTTTTAGTGCCCTTCAGGAGGCACCTGGAGAGATGCCATATAATTGGGCGCACACAAGGTCAGCCATCATCATAAAACAAGTGGAATTTGCACACAAACACATTGAGACTCAGTTTATCTCTTGGCAGGTCACTGGCAAGTCATATTTAGGATTTTCATAAGAAAATGAACTTAGGTCAATTCAATGCTTTAAAAGGTTGCTATTAAAATCAAGGTTACAGTCTGCACGATTTCTTACCTCTGGTTTCATGGAGCTCTGAGGCAGTCATTTGCAGACATGTGCCTGTGGAATACTACTTGTGCATGACACAATTTTCACTGGTCTTTCACAAAAATGTGAAAGTAGGAGTGTTCCAGCTATCTTGCCTTGGGAAAAGAAAATTCCTTTACTCTGAAATTATATCACTCTTGCTTTTTGTTGTGATATAAAGTCTTCTTAATCTTCTGAAATGGTGGCAAGAGCAGATGGTAGATTTGTGATTTATTGACCTTATTTGGAAAAACAAAAAAGTTGAGAAAGTTACGAGATGATGTTCGTTTTCCTCTTCTTTCCATTCTGTATTCTGTAGAGTTGTTTTTTCCAAAAGGTTTTATTTTTTTAAGTAGTTTTGGTGTCACAGTAAGATCGAGTGGAAGGCACAGAGTTCCCATGTGGCCTCTGTCCACTGCACAGCACATAGCCTCTTCCACTGTCAGCGTCCCCACAGAGTGGCCCATTTGTTGCAATAAATGAACCAGCATTGACCCATCATTATCAGCCAATAGCCACAATTTTCTCAGGGCTCACTTTTGGTGTTATGCATTCATTGAATCTATTAGTCCATTTCCATAGTGCCGTAAAGAACTACCTGAGGCGGGGTAATTTATCAAGAAAAGAGGTTCAGTTGACTCACAGCTCAGCAGGCTATACAGAAGGCATGGCTGAGGAGGCATCAGGAAACTTACAATCATGGCAGAAGGGGAGGGGGAAGCAGGCACATCTTCCACGGCAGGAGAAGGGGGAAGAGAGAGTGAAGGGAACAGGTGCTACATGCTTTTAAACAACCAGATCTCTTGAGAACTCTATCACAAGACAGCACTGTGGGATGGTGCGAAACCATTATAATCCACCCTCATTATCCAATCACCCCTCCAGGCCCCACCTCCAACACTGGAAATTATAATTCAGCATGGGTGGGGACACAGATCCAAACCTTATCAGTGAGTCTGGACAAATGGATCTGCAATGACAGCATCACATGGAGTCGTTTCCCTGCCGTAACAATCCCCTGTGTTCTGCTGATTCATCCCTCCCTTTCTCCTAATTCCTGGCAATCACTCTTTCCACTGTCTGCACAGTTTTGTCTTTTCCAGAAAGTCACAGAGTTAGAATCATACAGTGTTGTCTTCTTTCACTTAGTAAGAGGATTTCAAGCTCCAAGTCTTTTTATGACTCGGTGGATCATTTGTTTTTAGCACTGAATAGTATTCTGTTGTCTGGATGTACCACACTTTATTTACCTTCTTCCCCCCATGAGAAGGAGTCTTACTTTGTTAGACAGGCTGGAGTGCAGTGGCGTGATCTTGGCTCACTGCAGCCTCTTGTGTCCTGAGTTTCAGGGATTCTCCTGCCTCAGCCTTCCCAGTAGCTGTGATTACAGGCATGCACCACCATGTCCAGCTAATTTTTGTATTTTAATAGAGACAGGGTTTCACCATGTTGGCCAGGCTGATCTCAAACTCCTGAACTCAGGTGATCCACCCACCTCACCTCCCAAAGTGCTTGCATTACAGGCGTGAGCCACTGTGCCCAACCTATTTACCCATTGTCCTATTGAAGGACCTCTAGGTTGCTTCCAAGTTTTGGCAGTTATGCCTAAAGCTACTGTAAACATCTGTGTGCAGATTTTTGTGTAGACTTCAGTTTTCAGTTCACCCCAATAGATATCCAAGAAGGTTCCTGGATTGTCAGGAAAGAATGCCCTTCATTTTATTCCTGGCCTTTTAAAATCTTCCTGTTTTAAAAATGATTGTTGAAACACGGCAATCACTTCCTTTTCTGTGTTTCATTATGATTCTCTCTTTTCAGAAAACATCCTCCTAATTGGGGTAGAAAAAAAAAAAGAAGACCGTTTATTATAATTGTTTGAGGATCATGGACATGTGTCTTCTCATATAATTAATTAATATGTTAATGTTTAGGAAGAAATATGTATGAAGACGCTGTAAAAGTTTCTACAGAAATGACACTTGCTTACTTTTCTTTTACTCAGCTTTCAGTGTGTGCTAATTTGAATCATGAAAGTGTCATTTTTGTACGTAAAAATGATTGAATATTGGCAATTTCACATGCTTTAATGTAACACTTAAATAGGATCCGTCCCTCCAGCCCTATTACTCGTTAATAAATCCCAATTCTGGTATAAATTATGAGAAATATTCGTTTAGGGGACAGAATATAACATTGACTCTGAAACATTTAAATGAAGGAGTTTCTGCAAGATTCTCTTTAAAAGTTTATTGAAAGGAAAAACAAGATATAAAAGCTTAGAATGGTACAACATTTAAACAGCATAGTCTAGATGGTAACTCAGGAAATGTGAGTTTCTATCTTGACCTCTAATGCTTTGAGATTGACATTTTGTCTCTGTTATTTTTACTTTGTTTATGAAATGAGGATACAGTATCAGTTTCTAAGGACATTTCTGTCTTCCAGAGTTCCAGCCTGTATGCAGTTTGTTTTCCCTTTGACCCCAAATCTATTTTTGTCCTCCTCTAACTACTCCATGGCTCTCAAGGCAAACCTGTTTTGGGTTCTTCTAATGAGGAACTCCAGCAAGGGTGGAGAGATGGGATAAGAGAGTGTTAGGGCACAGAGGCCCTGTACCCCTCTCTTCAGGTACCCCAGAGACCGCTGTGCCCCTGGATCAACATGGACTGCCTTGCTTCAGCTGCTGGATTCACCATCTCTTTTCAGATTTCTATGCTAATTCCATAGAATTAGCATAATTCTATAATTCCATAGTAACCCTCCTGAGGCCGTTGGGCTCTGTGTCCCCACCCAAATCTCACCTTGAATTGTGAGCCCCATGATCCCTGTGTGTCAAGGATGGGACCAGGTTGACATGATTGGGTCATGGGGCAGTTCCTCTCATGCTCATCTCATGACCACGAGTGAGTCTCATGGTTTTATAAATGTCTGGCGTTTCCCCCGCCTGCACTTCTCTTTTCTGCCACCCTGTAAAGAAAGTGTTTTGCTTCCGCTTCACCTTCCACCATGATTGTCAGTTTCCTGAGGCCTCCCCAGCCATGCTGAACTGTGAGTCAATTACACCTCTTTCCATTATACATTGCCCTGTCTCAGATGTGTGTCTATTAGCTACCTGAGGAAAGACTAATAAAATCCCTTCTTTCTAGAATTTCAAAACCCAGCCTTAGGCAAGAAACTCTCAAATCATCTCACTGGGACTGTGTCATATGTGTCATGTGGGATTTTAAATAATATAGTTCTGTAAAGGACCTTGGCGAGCATATAAATGGCCATGAATGTGCCACAGTCTTGGGTATAAAATAAAAGTCATTTTCCTAAGACAAATTTTATCCAATTCTAGCTTCCATGTGTTTAAGTTGACAAGAAGTCTAATACCAGTCAGTTTTTAAAACCTGCTGCCAATTTTGGATTGCCAGGGAATTGCAGGATGATTTGGCATGGTGAGAACAGAGAAGGACTTGGTTCTGCCTCTGCACTAGTCCTTATGTTCCTTCTTGCTCTCATTTGGGGGCCTTGCTCTGATTTGGGGGTATTGCTCTGTGCAGCCACAGTTATTCACCTCATGTGATTCTCTCTAAGGATGTCGGGCTGGAGCACGAAGACCTACTCTGACCACTCCAAGGCCAGTCATTCATCACTGTCCACAAAAC